CCTTACGCCTTCTCTTTGGCCTTCGCACTCACACAGCGAGATCCTTAAACCAGCGACACTGCCGTGTAACGCTGCCTCCCTGGGACCACCAGCGAGGAGCACTGGGCATTTAAACCTTAGCACAGGAAAATTCTGGGGTAAGAAAAAAGCCAGATGCCACCATCCTCGCTGCTCAGACTGTTGGTCTTTCTGTGTGGGATCAAAACCAAATGTGCATTCTTTCAGGGGGTCGGGCAGCCACAGAAAAGCCCCAGCTCAGAGTCTCTGCCTCCAAACTTAAAGAGAGCCGCGCTGAGAGCCGGCATGTGGTGTGTCCTCCCCTCCGCCGGGAGGATGCCGGGCTGGGATTTTTGTTTAACTTGGAAAAAGAGCCCACAATGAAAACAACGTGTGGAAGGGTCTCCTTCCACATGTCACCAAAGGCAGCTCTTGTTCTCGCTCATCCTCTTGGTCCTGGGCTGTTGGCAGTGACTGCCCGCCGAGTCCACCGAGCGTCTCCCCCGGGGCCTGGCCCAGGGGCCCGGGCTAAGCAGCTGCCTCTGGAAGGTTCCTTCACGGGGGTTGGGGACAGGCCTTGCTGGTCTGAAAGGTTCTCAAGCCTCAGATGCTCCAGGGTCAGCCTTCACCCTCAGTTTACCGGGGGCGCAGTTGGTCCCAGAGACGGTTTTCGGGGCTGTCCTACAAGTGGCTTCAGTGGCAGACCCTGTGGCTGGCGGGCTGAGAGGACGTAGAGGGCCACTGGGTCAGTGCGTTGTATAGATAGGGCCACAAAGACAAAGCAGCGCCTGCACCAGAGCCCCTCTGCACCTGCTCAGGGCCCTTCCCGTGGCCTGCTCGGGGTCTCTCCTGTGGCTGCTCGAGGTCCCTCCCGCAGCCTGCTCCAGGTTCCTCCCATGGCTGCTCAGGGTCCCTCTGTGGCCTGCTCGGGGTCCCTCCCACAGTTTGCTCAGGGTCCCTCTGTGGCTGCTCGGGGTCCCTCCCACAGTCTGCTCAGGTCCCTCGGGACGCCTTGGTGTGTCCCTGGCTGAGACAGGTGTGGCCCTTTCCCAGAGGCGCAGTGACTGCTCACAAACAGCAGGACTGTCTGGTAGGAAGGAAATTGGAGCTCACCCAATCCTCATTGTGCAGATGGCTAATGTGAGACCCAGAAAAGGGGACATAATTTCTCCCAAGTCCCATGGTCGCTAGTGGCAGGGCCCACCTGGGATTCCTGGCCGAGGCGCATGCCAGCCCCACACCACCTGGCCTGCTCCCGTGGCCTTTCGATTTCCTGCCCAGAACCCTTCTCCCCTCACCCCACCCCTGCATCCAAAATAATCCGAGTCCTTCCCACAACCCGACCAGGCTTATGGGACCTTCTTCCCTGTCTCTCTCACCTCCACCCTCTGCTCCTGGCACCGACATCCTGGGTCTGCCCTTTGCACTTGCCAACCCCCCGCCTGGTGCACCTGTCCTGCGGGAGCCCTTACTCCCACCCACATCCCACCCCCTCTCTGCCCCGTGCCCAGCCCGTTTCCTCTGAGCTTCGCCATCCCTGACATTATGGTGTAAATATATTTGCTAGTTTGTTCACGGCTTGTGTCCTCGGGAGAGCTGCACGGCTCTGTGAAGGTGGCACCGCGGCTGCCGTCCCTGCACTGCTCCAGGGCCCTAGAGCATTGCCTGCTAAGAGCATGCCCAGATACCAGGCAGGTGAATGAGTGGATAAAGGAGTGAGCTAAGGAGGGAAGGGATGAAGGGATGAAGGGATGAGTGGTTACTGCTACCTGCTGCTGCCAGGCTCAGCCCCAGCTGTGAGTGGACTGGTCCCTCTGAAGGTGGGCAGGCACGCGTCCATCTGCCCTGGGGCCACCCCAGGGGCTCCGTGTGGATGTGAGTCCTCGGAGACCCTGCTGCTGAGGGCCTCCTGGGTGCTGGCTGCTGGCAGCATAGGGCTCCATGGGGGGAGCCGGGGGAGCCACGAGCTGCCTGGCCGTTGCTCTTCATGTGCTTCCTGGCGAGAAGAGGATCCATGGTGCCATAGCAAAGGCCCAGGAGGCCGCGGGCTTCACTGAGGTGAGTGCCTGTGGCACTTCCCCTGACCCACCCTGTGGGCACTAGGCCACACCCAAGCTGCCGACTGACCTCACACATCAATGCCTGGATGGGTGAACCGCTAACACGTGTTCCCGGGCTCCTTCTGAGGACGCCAAGTGGTAACAAGAGGGCGCAGGGCTGTGGCCAGAGCCCCTGCTGCCTGCTCATCCCATGGGCGTCAGCTGCTTGGAGGGCAGCAGAGGTGCCCAGGCCCTGCCCTGCCCCTCTGACTCGAGAAAGAGAAAGCCGCTTCCCATGTCACCTCCACAGCCGTCACCCCAGGGACCGGCCGAAAGGAGGGAGCAGCCTCGGCTGAGGCGGGACTCTGGGTGGCTGTCCCTCATGTCTCCTCCCAGAAGCCCAGGCTCCTCCTCCCACAACACACACACATGCACATGCACACAGGCACACGCACATACACACAGGCACATACACAGGCACACACGCACATACACACATGCACACGCACATACACACAGGCACACGCACATACACACAGGCACACACACATACACACAGGCACACACACACATACATAGGCACACACGCACAGGCACACACGCACAGGCACATACACACAGGTGCACACACATACACACAGGCACATGCACAGCCTGGTTTGGTGGAGCGGCAGGTCAGCCTGGGCGCCACTCCAGTTCACGTTTGCCTGGGAAACTAGCACATGCACGTCATCCCTGTGGCGGCTGGAGCTCTTTAGACCTGAAGAAGCTGCATTAATCCTGCACAGGGACACATCCCCGCTCACAGCTGCTTAGGCGGGGCCTGGTCAGGGTGGGCTGGGGGAATCTGATATTGCATTAAGGGACCCCCTTCAACCCTGTCGGTGGAACTCTGGGTTGAAAAGGACACACAGGTGCTGGGGGTGGAGAGCGGGACACCAGGAATTCTGGGGTGAGTGCAGCTTGAGGTTGCTGTGAAGACCTAGGAGTTGATATTCACAAAGTGCTTAGAACAGGCCCGATACTGTGTGCATTTGCTAAATACAGTGGGTGAGCAAGGCGGGGACAGGAGGCCCAGGCACTCCCCTTGCATCAGGGCTGCCTCTGAGTGTTCATTCGTGCTGGGCAGAGGGAAGAGCTATGACCAGCTGGCCAGGGCCCTGGACTCTCCTCCTGGCTCTGCCATTTTCCAGCCCCGTGACTGAGCTGAAATCACCCTTGGCCTCCATTTTCTCATCAGTGAAATGGGTGCAATAACACCCACCCTGGCTGCCCCGGGGGGCTTTTGGAAATGCAGGGAAACATTTGTTAACAGTGCTGTGGTTCGGTCTGCCTGGCCGCATTGAAGAAACCAGACAGGCCCTTTCCTGCGCCTCTGTGGAGGTGGCACCGCTTCCCTGCTGGGCTCCCCCAGGGTTCCCGAAGCCCAGTGTGTCCCCGTGTGGAAGCAGGAGGCGCTGGCCTCTGTTTTTAGAGGCCAGTTCCCCTGTGAGCCCAAGATTTCTGGAGTCTGGGAGATTGATTTAATCAGGGTGAGAAATTGGTTTTCTTTGTCCCAAGTCCCCATGGAAGATGCCAGTATTGTGGAATTATGAAGATAAAATTGAATATGTAAAAATTAAGTTTAAAATGTCAGGAGAAAAGTTTTCTCTTGTTAAGAGCTCAGAGCATTCAAACCAAGTGTCCCTCAGGGGATGAATGGATGACCAGAACGTGGCCTACCCTTCGGGCACAGGGTACAATGGATGAGCACTGAGGACATGATGCTTCGTGAAATACACCGGGCGCGGGAGGACAAGTACTGTTGAGGGACCTGTAGTGGCCACATTCATAGAGACAGAAACTAGGATGGTGGTCGCCTGGCCAGGGTGGGGAGATGGGGAGTTGTGTGAGGGGCCCAGGGACTCAGCTTGGGAAGATGAAAAGTCCCCTGATGGATGGTAGTGGTGGTTGCACAGCAGTGTGAATGTGCTTCACTGTGCTGTGCACTCAGGCATGATTGAAATGGTGAGTTTCCTGTTGTATGTATTTGACCACAGTAAAATCGGAGAGGGTAGTGTTTACAGAGCAGCCCCAGAGTCTGCACATGAGCAGCAGTGTCTGGGTGCCTTTATTAGGGCAGGCCCGGCGGGCTGCTGCCCCGCGTGCGTGGAAGACAAACGGCCGCGGCTCAAAGCCAGTCAGCAGGTCAGCCTCACCGCTGACTCCCACTGGCCAGGCCTTCCGCGTGAGTGAGTCCGCGGAGAAATCTCCACGTCTTAGCCCTTTCTCCAGTCTAACTACTTTTTAAAGAGGCTTGTTTTCCTGGCACCTATAATTACGTTTGCCTCCAGGGTACCCAGGAATTTTTTCTTAATAAGCAAAGAGCATCCTACAATTACCATGATGATTTGTTGAGGGCAGGCCAAGTGCAGACAGGGGCTGACTCACCTCTGGAAACTGATGCTCACGCGTTGGCATTTACAGCTCCGAGGCCCCGCCAGCACGCTTAGGGTCAGTAATTAATGGTAAGAGCTGGGGAATTAACATGCCCACATAGGTGTCTGCTGGCTGCAGCGGAGAGGGCCCTGGCTTCCCAGAGCTCCGGGTGACCGTTGCTGGCGTGGGTGCCGTCACCCAGGGCTGCTGGAGCCACACAGCCAAGGCCGGGATGGGCAGAAGCCTGTCGGCTCTGTCAGCCCTGATTTGCGGCCCAGCCTGTAATCTCCCCGAGTTCAAAGAGCGCTTCGCTGCTTGTCTTTGTCAAGAGCGCGGTTGGGGATCTTTTATGTGAGTGATGTAGGTGCTCCGGCTGACTTTGATTATTTATTCATCCCTCTTCGTGGGTGTGTGATAGCCGGGCACCTCTGAGCCCCCGTCCTGACTGCTTTAGCTCTGAAATTCATTGAGCTTTAAAGCCCTTTGAAAATGGCTTCTCCAGGGAGGGGCAAGGTTTTGAAGTCCTGTCTCTCTCCCCCTGTACAGTGCCGCAGCACCTTTTGCCACCGTTCCATGCTCCCTTACCGATTGACATGAGACACCAGGAGGGAAGGTACCATTACGAGCCTCACTCTGCCCACGGCGTGCACGGGTAAGTTCTGCCCTCGGCCCGCCGCCTCGGCGTGCAGCCTCCCCACACCAGGGAAGCCAGGCTGCCAGCCCCGGCCACCTCTCCTGCCTCCGTCTTTCTTTTCAGAGTTCCTGATCTGCATCGTCACCTTTGCCACCCACGGGTGCACTGAGCGGGACCCTGAGTGGCTGTGTGGGTGGGATGTGGACACCCAGCTCCCTCTGGTTCCCACCTCACCACTTCCAAGGCTGCCAACTCTCCTGGCGGGTCCATACGCACCTGGGGCTCTGTACCCCGGCAGTGGGAGCCCCTTCGGGCCAAAGGTCCCATAGAAGTATGCTGACCTTCCTTACATGTTGTCCAGGCATAATAATTCATCACACCCCTTTCGCTCTCTGAAGTGTCCCGACTTGGACACTGAGTTCCGGGGTCACCCTACTATAAGGACAAGCTCTGAGTCAGACTTCGGGGCCTCTTCCTGCTCCTGCTTTGAGACCGCAGGTAGGGAAACGCCAGTGCTGTCCCACCACACCCCTTGAGGCCTGTAGCCGATGTCACTTTTCTTGGTCTTTATTACCTGATGAGCCATGCCCATGCTACCCCCGTGTCTGCTTTCAGAAGAGAGGCCACGGTCTTCCCCTCCCCCCAACATACCTGCTGCTCCCACACCTGCCCGGAGGGGCCTACTGCACAGGACCAGCTGCCCTGTGGCCCCTCTTGACGCTGTTTGTGGTTCCAGCACTCACACCCCTGTCGCATGTTCCTGTGTCTCGGCTCCAGCTGCCCAGCCTGCCTAGAATGGCGCACGATTCCCACTTACCCGTCCACTGGCCCCGGCCTCCTCCTGGCGTCTCTGCAGATCCTCTAAGCCTCAGCCGAGGAGCACCTCCTCCTGGGGGCACTGGGATCCGCACACTGCGTGGGACCCTTCCCTGGATTCCACCGCACTACCGCGCCGTGGGTTCACACCTGCCCCCCAGCAGGCTCTGCCAGTGGCTGGCGCACAGTAGGTCCACCATCACTGTGTGCTGAGTGCACAGCCCTCCATGCATCCCACCCACTGCTCTCCCGGCTCCCGACCGAGTGGAGGCAGTGAACACTTGCTGAGCACTCACTACGTTCAAAGCACGCCCTCTGCCTGGTTGGGGGCAGGTGACTGAGAGGGGACACGACCTCAGGTGACTCCTGTTTCTGGGCACGCATTTCCTGTCCTCCCCACAGCAGATCAAACCTGGGATTTTTATTTTCTTTTTAAAAATGTATTTTACTTTGCAATAATTTCAGACATATAAAAACAGTTGCAAAAATAGTACAAAGATTTCCATAATACCCTTCACCACTTCCTCAGATGTGCTAGGAACCAACTTGTGGGTCTTGCCCAGATCTGGCCAGGTGCCTGCTCATGTCTTTTTCCCTGGTTCGGGACCCAGCTTTTGCATTTAGTTGTCTTATCTCTATCCTCACCTTTAATCTGGGACGGTCGCTCGGTCTCTCTTCGTGACCGTGGCATTTTTGAAGGGGGCAGCCCAGTTACTGCATGAAACGTCTCCTGGGCTTGTCTGATGTTGCCTCAGATTAAATTCAGACTTTATGTTTTGGGGAATAATGAGAAAAGCGATGCTGTGCCCTTCCTGCCGGGGGCACGCCGAGGGATACTTCTCACCCTGGATGAGTTGTGACCGCTTAGTTCAGGTGCGTTTCCCCAGTTTGAGGTTGGTTGCTCTGTAATGACGAAGCAGTCACGTTGCTAATGTGTGCATACCCTCCTCCTCATCACACTGGCACCCCGAACTGCAGCCTCCGTGACGGCCCTTGTCAGAAACAGGCGTTACCCGTCTTTGCCAAGTGCCGCCTTTCCGTGCCCGTGGCTCCTCCCACATTTATCTGCTAGAATGCTCCTGTGAGGAACAGCTAGCTGTGCCTTCTCCCCATTTCTCTTTTCCAAATAAATGCGTTGATATCTGTGATGGTCTGTGAGTGATAGTCTCTGGTTATCACTGTTTAGCGTGTTGTTCCCATTGTCCCAGATGTGGACATTGTCTCCCTGTCTTCCGACGCGTTTCAGCGCATGTGGCTGGCTCTCATGGGCGAGGCAGGACCTGCTGCTGCAGCCATGCGCCCACCACAGCCCGCCCACCTCGCAGGCCTCGGCTGCTGCCGGGGACTGAGGCCAGTTCCAGCAGCTTCGGGGAGATGCGTACATTTGGAGCAAGTGGCTCCCCCGGAAATTGCTCAGTTGGTGGCATCTGCGAACCTAAGCGTGTTAAGGGAGCTGAGTCCCTTCTAGGAAGGGGCTGGAGTTGCTGATTTTCTGCTCTTGAGACATGTTTGGCTGGTTCGGTGACACGGGTCCTGGGCACAGCAGGCCTGCGGGAAGTGCTTCCCTGCCGGGGTCCCAGGGCCGAGAAGGCGTGCTCAGTGCGGAGAGCTCCCGGAGGGGCGCTAGCAGGCCCCTCACTGCAGGGGAACATCCCGGCTCACATCTCCCCCGAGCTGATAGGAGAAGTCCCCCCGATGGCGAATGCGATTTCTCGGATTAACTCTGACCTATGACTGTTAAACACTTCCTGTTTCATCTCACTCCTCTCAACAGCCCTATGAGAGTGTATTTCGTGTCACCCCGCTTTACAGGTGCAGGAACTGAGGCAGCACAGAGAGGATAAGTAGCTGGCATGAGGTTCACCCACGTAGGGGTGGGGAGTTAGAAATCCCATTCCCGCCCCTGAGCCCAGCCCCTCGGCCGCACACTGGCCTCTCTCGGGAGCACATGTGTGACTCCAGGACCCCTGGGCAGGGTCCACCGAATCCAAAGAGCACAGACCACCCTTGGTGAGGGCACTGCCCCTAGGTCGGTGGTTCCCAGCCTGTTAGGAATGCAGGTGCCCAGGCCCGGACCTGCGGAGCCAGCTCCGGGCAAGGCCACGGTCTGCATGTGCCACGCCTGCTGCAGGCGCAGGTTTGAGTCACTGTGCAGGCAGGGCCTGGTCGCTGAATGGGGGCCCTTAGTGCTGTCCCTCCCTGTGCGAGTGGAGCTGTGGCAGGAGGTCGCCCTGCGTCTTCTCCAGGCTTTGCCCTCACCAGCTCTGGGCTGGACACGGGCCACATCCGCCCTCTGGGCCTGCCCCCTTCCTAGGCAGGGAGGCACAGCATGTGGGCAGAGCACCTGGAGAAGTAGGTGACAACGGCAGGTCGCAGAAGTCCGGCCGGGCCAGTGGCCTACACAAACGGTCTGTCCCTCACTGGCCCGGCGGTTCTTCACTTCCCTGGGTAGCTGCGGGCGCTGAGTCTCCTGCTGCTGCTGTGAGGAAGCGCCTCACTCAGTGGGCTAACCAGGACCGATCTGGTCTCGGAGCTCTGGAGGCCGGAGGACTGGAGGAGTCGGTGCTGGGAGAACCGTTTCCTCCTGGCGGCTCCAGGAGAGAATCCTTTCCTTGGCTCACAGGCCCTGCCTCTCTTCGCGTTGCCTTTCTCCCGGCTTCTGTCCTCGCGTGGCCGTCCTCCTCTGCGGTCGTGTCTCCCTCTGCCCCCCTCATCGGGGCACCTGTGATTGCGTTGAGGGCCGCGGGACAACCCAGAACAGTCCTGAGCTCAACTTCTGCGACGGCTCTTTCCCGCAGAAGCTCCCATTCCCAGGTCCCAGGGCTTAGGAGGGTGGTTCTCCAGCTCATTTGGGATCACCAGTCCCAGTGGTGAGCCCAGCATCACCAGGTACAGTACAGGGCGTGAGGAATTTGTGCCCTGGAGCCGGTCTGCTGTTCCCTCGCTTTCCGGTGGCCCTGTGAGGTGGGTTAAATCTGCAGCTCGCAGGTGCAGACACAGCCTCAGAGGTGTCCCCACCCCCAGGGCATGCCCTGCACAGCCGCTGGGCTTGCTTCTGCTCGAGGGTTGAGGAGCCAAGGAGGGCTGGTCCGTTCACACCCGGCCATGGCAGCAGCACTGTTCCCCGCATCCTGCTGGCCTGGTCACCAGTGGCTCCACCTTGTCCTCAGGACACTGGGTCCCGGCCAGGCCACAGGGGATGAGGCGACTGCTGCAAAGCCCGCCTCCTCACCCCCGCCCTCAGTGTCCCAGGTAAGAAACGGGCAGAGTTCGGGAGGAAAGGGGCCCCTGTGGCCCAGGCCCTGTGATTAGTGTGAGGGAGCCTGGGGGAGCCCAATCCAGAAGCCGCTGTTGTGGCCGCTCCTCCTCCCTGCCAGCAGCAAATGTGCCTAATTACACAACCGTTGCTCAGCAAATGAGGCGCGGTGTCGTCTCTTGTCAGCCCACCTCGAGGCTCCTGCCTGCGGCTCCGTGCACAGGCCTCTGCGCAGGCACCCGGGACCTGGTCCGCTCTGGCTCTCGTGGTCCAGTCGCTGCGTGACGGAGCGCCAGTGCCCAGGACTCCGGGCAGTGCTCCACCGCGGCCTCCTTGCCCTGCCCGGCCTGCAGGGGCACTGCTGTCACCAGCCCTGCCCGGCTCTATGGGCTTGTACCCTAGTGCTGACCAAGCTGAAGGAATGAGCCTCAGTTTTCTCATCTGTAAAAGGGCATAATGCATAGTAAGGGTACGTACGCCATCTACTGAGTTACTTTGGGAATTAAATGGGGTAATTTAAGTGAGAGTTTGGAAACATTCGTAGATGCTAATAATGGTTGTTATCACTGTTGCTCCTCCATTGGCCTATCAGAGAAGGAGGTTGTCTGCAGGCACGGGACCTGTGTGGCAGGGGCAGGCCGTGCCAGGCCCTTGGACGAACTACTGTCGGTGGCTGAGGCACAGGAAGGTGGGGAATTGGGCGGAGGAAGTCACCACTGGGGATGAAGAGAGGAGGGTCTCTACCCCAGGAAGGACTTTGTCCTTTCAGCAGCAGGAGGTACAGACCCGACAGGGCCTGCAGAGCTTGCTAATGCTCAGAGCCTTCCAGAAGGGGAACAGCCCCACCCCTGGACTCCTGGTGCAGCACCTCTTACCTGTAAGCCACAGGTGATGGGGAGACAAATGGCTGGAGGGAGTGTTCTTGCTGGTCAGGCAGAGTTCTCTT